CCTCCTACTGTAATTATCGAAGTTTGATTTTAATGGAATTAAACATTTTCGTATATTTTGTATATTCAAGAGAAGAACATTCTTCAAATCTACAATATTCTAATTTTATTGCGTGTTTTGGGAATATAATTTCACTCAAAAATTTTTGTTATAACTACGGATTATAATAATAAAATTCATTAACACATTCACATATTATACAATTGAGATAAAGTAACAATTTGACTGAACTAAGTGAAGAACACCCATTAAATGTAAAGATATCCAAATCATTTATATATATACAAAAATAACAATTTATAGTGAAACAAATTTAATTATTCAAATGTTTATCATTATATTGTGATTTAATACAATCTAATATCTTTTGTCCTCCAAGAATAATAATAACTTGCTTCTTTTCTTCCAGCAAAAACACTATGTTTTGCGCAGTATTTCATGATTGTTTCTTTTGATGTAATAGACCATGGAATCACTTCTTTAACACCACCATAAGCTGCTATATTTCCATTATCTCTTAAAACAAAAGTCCCTAATTTGGGGAAATCATGGAAAGTCTCAACACAAACTGGTTTGATTGGCATAATAGTGACAACTGCAATATCTTCTTTCATTATTTCCACACTACTTAACTTTTTTTCTGGTGCATTTCTTTTTAGTATTTTTACTATATCGAGTACTACACAAGGCACCTGCGCCATATGGATGTTCATAGTTGGAGCCCACCCCTTCTTTACTATTCTGTCGTCTACAATTTTGATTTGTGCGACAAATTGTTCACATCTGACAGCAGGACAGTTGAGATCAGAAAGAACCTCTCCTATTTTGTAGTCTCTGCACGTTGTATTTGCAACATTCACGCCAACAAAATCTCTTGATTTTCCTTCTGAAATAGAATTACCCAACATTTCAACGCTTTTTGTTTTAGCTGAGAGTCCACTTGGAGACACTGTAAAAAGTTGGTTTGCACGTACAATTCCACTCTCGACAATTCCAACTAACACAGTTCCAACACCACTAATTTTGTAGACATCTTCTACTGTCATTCTGAAAGGCAGTGTGTCAAGTCGACTTCTTTCTGGGGTTTTGAGTGTGTTAAGTAGATCGGTGACTGTTCCAGTTTTGTTGATAGCCCATGTCATGTTTTTTGAAGAAACAGTCAAATTGTCTCCTCTAAGTCCATCAATTGGAATTAATCTGACATTTTCACTTTTAATTCTGACGACTTTTAAAAGGTCCAAAATTTTGTATTTCGTTTCTTCAAAACGAAATTCAGAGTATTTCACTTCACCCATTTTGGTGATAATAACTGCTACTAAATCAACTAAAAAGGCTTTTAATAGTATCAACTTTTCAATAATTGCTTCTTTTTGGTCGTCAAATTTTTGTGAGGCAGAAACAACTAGAAATGAGACATCTCCTTTGTGAATACCCCGAATTGTATTTTTGATGTACTTTATATTGCCCGGAGTGTCTATAAATGAAATATTCATTTTTTCAAATTCTTCCATAGTCGTGCGTCGTAATTGGTCGTGACTTAGTTTTTCCTTGAATAATAAACTGTTCTTGGCAATGATTCCCTTGGTTAGTTGAATATTCGTTAATGATTTACATTTTTCTCTTTTGGTCTTTTCAAAGACCCAAGCATACTCACAATTTGGTCTTTGTGTTTCGATACATTCTCTTTTGTATTGGTCTATTGTTCGTTGATCAATAATTTGAAGGCCAGCAAAAAGATGCCCAAGAAAAGTACTCTTCCCGCTTTGGAAAGGACCAACAACTACAATATTGAGGTGTTCATTCAAAGTGGACATCTTGTTTGGATTTGTTTTAAAATGAATTAAAATTAAATAAATCAATAATTCAAAAACGTGTTCTTCATTAAATGTTTGAGTTTTAACTTTACAATTGTATTTTTAGAATATAAATTATTTTTTATTATAATTATTGTGAAAATCCATTATATTACTCACATAAATTAAAACATCAAATACAGTTTTGTTTATGTTGTAACTTAACTTAATCGAATCGACATATTAGAACATCATCTCAGTGTTAATTCGTATAAAAAGCAATACAATTATTAAAACACATCTTTTTAAATAAAACTAAACCAGTTAAATATATAACTATTATATTTTAATAATTAGTAATTGGAATGACGACACTAAAACCATTATTTGGTGATAAAAACATGATCACTACGAATTAATTGCTTCTTAAAGTAAAAAACAACAATATTTAAGAATAAAAATGGTTACTTCGATTTATGACTCATATCGATTTGAAATGATTGTATCTTATTGAACATGAAACTTAATTTTTTAAATCAGAACACTAAATATGAATTACAAGCCCATATTACAAAATTATATATGCACGACTGTTTTGACGTGAATTAATTGAATCTTCGTGATTAAAACATATAAAAAGTAAACTATGGAAAGCGTGTAAATATAAATAAAAACTGAATCGAACACATTTATTTATTCAAAACTGAACGCCCAATGATAGCATGATAAAGATTTTATAATTCAAATAATATGGAAATTAATTTATATTGTAAAATTGGCAACATAGCGTTTATAATTGTAGACAAATGGAACTTGTTTAGAAAGTGTTGATGCCTAACATATATAATAAGTTGGGTTTATTATAAGCCACATCTCAATTTTTAACAAACAATAGTTATGCTTATTAAAAACTTAGTACAAGCAAATCAACATTATTAAAATAACAATTTACTGTTTTGATTAATCTATTAAAATTTTATGTGATTAATTCGAACAGGTATTTTATTTTGTATACTTTTATCGTTTTTTTAATTGGTTAGTGAGTTTTTTCTATAATCAATTATTTTTTTCTTTTTTATTTATTTGCTATTTCACTTTAAATGGTTTTGTTTATAATAAATAAATGTCATTCAAATAACAGTAAATTCACATTTTTTATATTTGACGTATTAAATATATATTATTCCTTTTTGTAATTGTCTTTTTAGCTTCCAATAATATAAACAACTACAACAAAGTTTTACAATATGATAATATGATTGTAGGTATATGGCATGTATACCAATTAAATTGCTCGAAATCCCAAATAAAGTAATTAAAGTGAATTAATGAAACCCAAAGCCACTGAGTGTATTTCGGGCATATCCAAACGGTGCTCCAAATAGATTTTGTTGTGGATTATCAGCGTCTCTGACTTGATTTAGTCTTTGTGTCAGCGCATTAATTTCATCAAAAATTTCGACGTCACTACTTTCTATTTGTGTAATGTTTTCTGGCTTGTTCGATATCACAAAACACCTTTTGCACATTTTCAATACGATGTGTTTTGTTTCATTTCCAATTATCAAAAATAAATTCTGGCAGTTCTCAAAAGTTGCTGATTTTGACATTACATACAATTGGTCAGGTACATTGTCGATATTTTTCATTTTAAATTTGTTCAAACGCATTTTATCAAATAACATAGTTAATTCGGTCGTGTCAAAACACAAATCGCCAACATTTTAATACATCCCGGAGCTGTTGATCATTTGAATTTGAGACCGCTCAAAGTGAATTCCGTTGTATTTTCCCTCCCTCGTTGAAAAAATGATCGACCCATTTGATTCGACAATGTCCACTTCCTTTGTTTTACTCATTAATTTAATATCAAACTTAGTACAATTGCGCATTTTCAGTTCAACCACATTAAGTGCCGAATTTACAATTCCAAATACAAAAACAGTGACAAAATTACAATTCTTCATTTCTACTCTTCCAAACGCACTTGAAAAGAAAATTAGACAGTTTGTCTATTAATGTTATTTGATACATTTTAAATAAAAAAATAAAAACGTCCCGAAATATTTTTTTTGGGACAATTGGGATTTGTCCATAAACACATACCAATTGTTCTATTTTTTACGTTTTATTTAATGTTGGATGTACAGATCCCAAAAAACATACCGGCAAAAAAATAATAGTAAATTATGTTTTTTTGGTTTGTTGTTATTTTTTCAAAATTTTTATTAAAAAACTATTAAATAGTTTTTAATATTTATCTTTATAGATTGTCGGTTAGTTTTTTTTGGGTTTATATACAGATCGAGTATTTATGGGGTGCCAGAAACTTATTGGGTGCCAGAATTATTTTAAGAACTGAAAGAGTTTGGCACCCATTTTCATATCAATTATTACCAAGAAAAAAAAACAAATAAAAAACAAAAAACAAAACCCGTATTTTTTCATCAATCAATCCTCAAATTTTTTGGCACCCATTAAATACTCTAACTGTACATAAAAATTAAAACCATTTTTGTCTATTAGATAACCTTAAAAAACCAACTTTGATCGATTTCAATTAATTATCCGTTTCGAGAATATACAATTAATTTGTATGTTTTTATTTTGATTAATTAGTTAACCGACAAATAAAAAAAACACAAACAATTGACTTTAACTCTCATTAATATTTTTATTTTTGATTAAAAAATTATATCGATTAAATTTATCATACACTTAAAGACAATTAAAAATAATATCTTAAAAGTAAATGGAAAAATCTATGGAAGAACAAGTCAATGTGTTTTTACTTGGTGATTGTTATGTTGGGAGAGTTTTTTATTTATAATTGTTATATAATAAAACTCATGTGTAGACTTCTGTTGTACTACGTTTTGTTTATAATTCTTTTGGTGATAAATATGATTATGAATTTGGGGATATGTTTACTGATATAGTTTGTTTTTCTGCTAAAGTTTATCGTTACAAAGTACTAAAACATAGAAAATGCTTATAGATAGGAGACTTGTTAATGTGACGTTTTGGGAACCATGTTTGTATTTTTGATTGTTATTTATTATCATTACTTCTTCGACATAAAAAAATATTTTCATTCATTTTATTAATCATTTTAAGTGCGTTGTTAATAATATTTGTAAATTAATATATTAAATAATTTAAATTACAAATTTAATAAAGAGGTGCAATCACACATTTTAAGTCTATGTTTTCATGTGCTAAAAAAACATGTCAAAGTGTATTTGTTTTTTGTTGTTCTCGCGATGACGAATTGTCTTCAATTTCTTTGAATTATTGGTACAAAAACTCTTTAATTTTTCAAAACGAATACCAACGACTACTTAAAAAAGTTTTAATCACAAAAAATGATTTACCACAAAACGAAAAAGTCTCAAAAGAAGCACACAAATTTGCAATGAAAAATAAAATTGAAATTTTTGAGTGTTCAGCAAAAGAAACTGTTGGTGTTACCGATTTTATTTGTTCGATTGTTCAAGATATTTTTAGTGTAGATTCGTTGGTTGCTAAAATTGTCGAAAATAAAAACACGGAATTGTTATTAAAAGAACATAATAATAAATGCATTTTCGTTTATTTTGTTATTTATATTATTTTTTACTTTACTTATACAGTTCCCAGAAAAACCGAACGGCATAGAATAATTTATAGTATATTATAGTTTTTTTGTTTTTTTGTTCTTTTTTTCAAAATTTTTATTGAAAAAACTATTAAATAGTTTTCAGAAACCATTTTTATAGTTTGCCTGTAGGTTTTTCTGGGGTCTGTACATATTGGTGATAGTATTATTAAATTTAGGTTTTCAAAAACTTACAGATACAGTATGACAAGTTTGACTTAAACCACAAGTTTGGGTTAAATGGTAAAAATTATAGTTCAATTATAATATTTTTTGAACTATAACTTGAACTAATTAATTGCTTTTTTATATTCAAGTTTATATAAATAATAAAATAATTAAAAGCAAGTCAAAAACCCAAACGATTATATAAAGAATAAGAAAGCTATAAACCAGTAAAGATTACTATAAACTATCACACAATCATGATCATTAAGATTTTAATGTATTAGCAAACAACGTAAAGTACAATTAAAAATTATTTGATTGTATAAGCATAACATTTCAAATTCAAGTCAATTATAAATACAGTCTGGTTTCCCAGTGTGTATATTCAACGTTCTTGTTGTTCTCCATTAAACGAACATTAATTAAGAACAAACCGAAAAACATAGGCCCACTCTTATTTAAGTGGGTATAAGTTTCACTTGCCACAATCAAGCGGAGGTTCTTAAAATTTTACTCTTGGGAGGTTTGGCAATATTTCCTTTTGTTGAATTCGTTTTTATGTGTATTATTTGGTTTATAGTTAAAAACAGTATTTACCTATCACGATAGGGAATACTGCTAATTTATTGTATTTACAATAAAAATAAAGTAACACAAACGTTTCCGAATGAGGCGGTGTATGTTTTGACATGTTTAAATACAACGAGACAAACATGTTGGGACATACAAAACAATACTTAAAATGTGTTTTGGTTTTATTTTTAAGATTCAAAAGCGACATAAAACGATAGAATCAATAATAATAATTTAAATATTATTCTATTTAACCATTTAATTATTTTCTAGTTTAACCCACTGTTTACTATTGTATATAGTTTTTAAACCATTAACGTGAACCATTTAAGTCAAACTATTCCATTTAAGGCAAACTTGTCTGACTGTAAGTTCCAAGTTAACAATTTTAATCACAAATTATATTTAATATATATTATAATATTATCGGTTTTGAACACTTTGATTTGAAAAAATTTTGTATGCAAATTGAGTTCACTTTTATACAAAAAGTGTGGTCAAATAACAATTGAGGCACATTTTGTGAAAAGGAAAATAAATAAATATGTGTATGTATTTGATATTAATTGATGGCAAACCGTATTACACGTAACACAAAAGAAACCAAAATGAATTGTCTGTTAAGTCATTTTTAAAACCGTGCAACTTTGACGTGTCAGTGCAACTTTGTTTATAGTATAATTATAATAAAACAATTCCATGTTTTTAGAAACAAAACAAGAAAACACAAACAAATTTCTGTAAAACTATTACTCTAATTAATATACTATAACTAAACTATAACTAAAATTGCACAATTTCTCTCAATTAGTTTTTTGGGTTGCACCATTCAACAGTCTCGTGTTTACCGTAATTTTGCAGCGAAAAAGTCTTTGAATCACACAAATTGGCTAGTCTCATTATTTTCTTTTTTATAAACGAGATGTTTAACGTTTGCTCCATCCAAAATCGATATACAACACTGTTATTTTCGTTCTGTGCTACAATTGGAATTCTGGATTTTTATGCTTTTTAATTTAACAAGCAGTTGAACTTATCATTTAATTATCGAGTTATATTTTATGTTAATTTATAACCTAATTAAACTTTATGTTATTGTTATTGTTGAAAAATAGAGTTTTACCTTTGTTGTGAGTAAAAATAATAAATTGCACACTTTTTCGAAATGACTTTTTCATGAATAAATGGATAATAATTAAATAAATTGTGAGCTTTTATAACTATTATTTATCTTGATAAAAATGTTTCAGTTGTTTACAAAATAATAAAAAAGTTAAATATTTACCAATGTAAAATAGCAAAATAATACATATCACTTATTTTCAAGCAATTAACATAATCGACATTTTGTGTCAAAATGCCGATAATGATAATTTTAAACAAAGGTTTATTTAACACTTAACTGGCCGAAAACCAAATTTTTATTAGAATAATAACAATATCAAAAAATGCCTTCTTTAAAAAAAGTTGTTAAAAAAGACCAAAAACCCCTTCTTGGCCGAAAAACCGAAAAATGACCCAAAACTTATTCAAAAATAATAAAAATGAGGACTCAATTACCTAAGATTTGTTTTTGAGGTTAAAAATAGCAACACTTTTTTTTCAAAAACACAAACAAACTTTTCAAAAGCAAGAATGTATGGTAATTTTTGTTCTCTCAAGAATGTTAATTTTCGCCAATCAAACATCAAAACTTTTTCTATAAAAAACTTGATTTTTGTTTCAGCCCAAACTGCTTTCTATTGAGAGTTGCGCGATTCAGAAGTGCCGCGTTTAATAGGTTTTACTATATTTCAGAACCTCAAATTTGTTTTATTAAATAATAATATATCCAATATACAATAACAAATTTTGTTGCATAAATAAGACGTATATTAAAAATATAAAAACGAACCATAACAAACTCAATTTGATTTAATGTATGTCGGTGTTGACTAGATAAACAGCAAGTTGCTTTTTAATTTGGTAATATGTTGTTTTTATTGATGTTTTAGTTCATGTCATTAAAAATAGATCTGAATAAAAAACAAAAAAAAAACAATCTATTAATATTATTATAACATTATCATAACAAATAGTAAATATTATGATAAAAAATATATAAAACTATTTATTTAGTTATTTAATTAATATTATGTAACAATAGTTTACATTATTATATTTTCCAAACATCATTTTTGTCTTTTTTTGCAAAATCCAAAAAATTTTATAATATTAGTTTGTGTTATTATAATTATACAAAACAATTATTTAATTATGTCGTCATATTCAAAAATAATTTTATAAAATTTTTACCAAATTTCATTTTGAAACATGAAATTCATGAAAAATGAAATGAAAGGCAAAAATCAAATTTGGTATTAAATTATTTGAAAATTTATATTTTTGGCTTTAGGCCATTTGAGTGTTAATATAATCTTTTGTATTATGTTCCTTTTTTCGAAAAAAATATGTTATTTGGTGTTAAAAGAGTGTATAAAAATTAACATTAAAAACTAAATAAACTTCAATCGTGTCTTTAAATCTCGATGTTTTAACATCAAAAAATGTTTGTTATGTTTTTATTGATTATTATTTTTCATCAATAAAGTGGAGATCAACCCTACACAAAGGAGACACCACAAAATGTGGGTCGTTAAAAATCGCTATCGATGCCTCCGATAAGCGAGATCTCCCACTATAAGTTATACCGGTGGCTGGATAGGGTCTGATAAACCCTAAAGGCAATCTCCCAGTAAGAGTAAGTCGAACCTTGTCACCTCACATTTTCGCCGTTTCAGAGTGTCTTAACTCTGTGTTTCCAAAGGCTTTGAAGGAAACGCTCTGAACTTAGAGTATCATGCTGTCTCTCCATTTGATCCCCAAAACAGATTCTTACCATTTTGAATAGCACAGGACCGCTATTTAACATTGGTTTGGATAAAACCTGGTAATAACAGAGGCAAAGATGTGGGTTATAAAATGATGACTCCTCGGCGCTATGATAACTTTAAATATTATAAGAGTAAAACATAATTGATTTCTTCTTTTTCATCAATAAAATTCAAGATATCAAAATAAAATTGTAATAAAAAACCAGTCTTTAATTTTAAAATATAATTTTTGTTTCAAATAGTTTTTTATTTAATTTTTTTGAAAAAAACGTTTTCAAAACAAATTAAAAACTTTTTTTAATAAAATAATAAAATAATAAATAAAATTATTATAATATACTAATATCGTTTTTTTGTTTTTTTGTAAATATTAATAATTAGTAATTTATTTTGTATTTTGTTTAGTTACAAAATAATAAAAAAACTATAACCCAATTATATTTTTTACTTTTTTATTGATATTAAAACATGAAAAAAAATGTTGTTGACTTTATAAATAGTTTTAATAAATTATATTATAATTATAATATATTAAAAGTATTTTGATTTGACTAAAAATACTTTATTTTGTTTATACCGAAAACTTGAATTTTCTTGTTATTTTCAAAATAAATATTATATACAATAAAAATATTACAATAAATAAAAAGTTATAATTTAATAAAAATAAAAACCCCTTTTACTGTTTCGATTTTGTTGAATCTCAAAACAAGAATTCCAACTGATGCTTGAAAACAGTTTATTTGTAGTTTTCTTGTTTTTCTCGTGTGTATTATCATTGGTATGGTGTGATGCCGGCAGTGCAATTTTGTATATGAAGGAATGTAGCACAACAACGGATCCTGGATGGTTTTGTGCTTACGGAGTAACCCATCAATTTTATTTCACAAAAGATTATTACAAATCCGAATATAAAATATTTGTTGAAAGTATCGACGACGACGTTCCTACCAAAGAATTTTTCTTTAACGAAAATGGAATTAATTTAAAATCACTGAGCGTTTGTCTTGCAAAACCGGCAAGTAAAGTGATAATTTACGACGGCTATCGCCCAGAACCTTTTTTCATTAGTTTCAATTGCTCATCAAGAACTTCTGTCACTGATGGATATCAACCACAGATTGAAGTGCGATATCACTCCCTTCATTTACACTCAAAAATAGACCAAAGATTTGTCATATTGTCATATCGGAATATTGGAGAAACTGTACCTAATTTGAGCATCAATGGTGTTGTACCACAAAGCGTCAATTTTCAATTTGAAAATGCACTTTCTCTTGGTACAGCACTTTCAAAAACTCGATTTTTATTTACTGGAAAATCGGATGAATCGTTAATCACGTTTAATAGTACAAAAACGACGGGTTTGATAGCGAAAAGTGTATGTACGCGAAACGGGTTAAGTCGGTTCTTGATTTTTCAAACGCCAGAAATCACCAATAATGTTGGTACATCAATGTGTAAATGTGTTACTTCAAGTGAATATATCACTGGAAGTAACACATTTAATTTTCCCGACTGTATGTACAATGGCACTTTATTTGACTTGGATTTAACTACTTTAATGCCCAAGTCAGAGGAAAGTATTTTAATTCGGATTTACGTCAAAGAATGGTATTCAATGATATTTAAATTGAACCAGAAGTACAGGGTGTTTGGAATTGATAGTAATACTTTAAGTATGTCATTACAATTATTAGATCTCCAAAATACAAAAGTAGAGTTTGATATATTTGTAAATGTTTATGGTTTTCGAGTAATGTCATCTGGAGAATTTTATTTTAAAAGGGGCGTGCAAATTGTGACTTCTACACTTTCCCAAGGCTATGAAAATAATATTGTGTTTACAGTCGAAAACACGTTTTTATATTCCGGCATGTTATTAAAAAAATGTGGAAAAAGAGTTGTTTATAATAATGGACCAGAATATTTGTGCCATTGTAATTTCACAAATTCTCAATGGGAAGATTATGGAAATGACACTAAATATAAAAATGACTGTTATGATCCATCATTGAAAAAAGGATTAATACTTCAAATCGACTCTCCTACTTATAGTATATCGTCATATGAAGAGTGGAGTAAATTGAAGGTACTATCAAGTTTAACAACACTAACTGGAAATGCAACAATTACAATAAATGAAATTACTGTGTTTGGTAATGTTATTATTGAAAATACTATTGAAATTGGTAGTACAATAACTTTTAAAAAAGGAGGAAGTATTATTGTTAAAAGTGGAGCTATTCTTCGACTTGGTAAATCCACAAAATTTGTGTTTAAGAATTATTCAAGTAACATCAATATGAATGGAAGCATTGTCGTTGAAAAAGGTGGTAAAGTAGAATTTATGGACCCACTGAACACTTTTATGTTTGATTATTTGAACGATACAAAAACTCCAATTGAACTTTTTTCATTTGAAGAAACTCAAAATGCGACTTCTTTTGCTAAATATAATAGTCTTATTGATGGCAAATTATATCGAGTATTTCAAGCAAATAATATTGATAACACCGTTGTGTGTAATTTGACGCAAATGGATTATAAAAGTCACAAAAGTTATGAATCGAATATCATCCATTGTCCTATTAATAGTGTTAATGCTGTTATCAGTTTAAAGATCGACACTTTCGAACAAAAAGAAGAATTTTTGGGACATTTTGTACAGAAAAATAAAATTTTAAAATTCATAAAAAGTGCAAATTATAACACAAAATTTGATGATGAGAATTTTCCAAATGTGTTGTTGGTTGATGACAATTCAATTCAAATTGGTGATGTTAAAATTGTTAACCAAACAAATAAAGTGTTAGTTGGAAACAAATTTGGATTTAAAAGTACATCAAAAAGTCAAAACATCAAAAGTGAAAACACTGAGAAGACAATTGTTTTTGATACAACTTTTTCATGTGTTGCATTATTGAATACTTTGCAATTAACTGAAAAATGTTTGGCGTGTAAAAACGACTATTACATCGAAAATACAACTTGTAACATCATTTCGACTCAATGCATTTTGTCTTCTAAAAATACTCAATTTTCGATATGTGAAAAATGTAATTTGAAATATGAAGCATTCAAATATGAATGTGTTGTGTGTTCTGAAAACTGTTTGCATTGTGTAAATAAGAAGTGTGTAATGTGTGAAAGTGGATTTAATTTAAGTAATGGTATATGTGAACCAGTTGATAAGTTTCTTAATAATGTCATTCTTTATGAAAATCAAGAAGTGAAAAAGTGTTCAATTGGGTTCTACAATTCACAAGAAAAATGTTTGTCATGTGACACAAATTGTGTATCATGTGAAAATAAAGAGAAATGCAACGTTTGTGAATCAACTTACCTTTTAAATTTCAATGGAAAGTGTGTCCTTCAAAGTGGTGCTTTACTTTCTACAAATTATCAAATTTTGTCATGTAAAAAGCCTTTGATTTTAAGAGAAAACGTTTGTGAACAATGCTCAACTTTATATGGAAATTTATGTGAATATTGTGATGCAAAAACGTGTTTGAAATGTTCTTCAAATGGAGTAGTAAACATAACAGATGGACATTGTGTTGATGTAACACGAAGTTCTTGCACCAATACGGTTAATACTTTTTGCACGTCTTGTGTTAACAAAAACCTTATTATTAATACAGAAGGAATATGTGTTGATTATGATGAACATTGTTCTGTAACAACAAAAGACAAAAAATGTTTAATTTGCAACAATAAATATCACTTAAATTCGTCTTATTATTGTGAGGTTGTGACAACTCAAAATGAAAATTGTTTAGTTTTAAATGAAGTAGAAGATCGATGCATTCATTGTGAAATTGGGTTTTATGTTTCAAATTTTATATGCGAAAAATGTGCTGAAAATTGCGAAAATTGTTTTAATAATTCGAAGTGTTTAAATTGCAAAGAAAATTACTTTTTAAAAGATGACGGAAGTTGTGTAGAAAATTCACAAATCACTTCAAATTGTTATAAAATGATAAAAGGCACCTCGCAATGCGCTTTATGCGACATTTCTTATTTCAGAAATACAAATGGAAAGTGTGAAATGTGTATTGAAAATTGTAACGAGTGTAATCAATTCAATTTCTGTCTTCAATGTGAACCAAATTACTTTTTACTCACAAATAACACAAAATGTATTTCAAATGATTTGCTTACGAATTGTGTTGTTAAAAGCTCAATTGGATGCACAATCTGTTCGTCGGGATTTTACTTAAAAAATCAATTATGTGAATCATGCAGCACTTTTATTTCAAATTGTGAATTGTGTGAAAATACAGGAAAGTGCATTTCATGTGCTCAAAACTTTGTTTTGTTAAATTCAAATTGTGTTGCTAAAAATTTAATACAAAAATGTTCCAAAGTTAAAGATTCAAAGTGTACCAAATGCGCATTTTGGTTTATTCCAAGCCCTTCTGGGACATCTTGTCAGAGCAAAGCTGTTTGGTGGGTCATTTTATTAATAGTATTGGTAATACTATTAATTATAGTTATTTTAACTATAACAATAGGATACATGATAAATAAGGGGTTGAAACGTGTCCACGAGGAATCAACAAGGCAAAAAACGTGTATCTTTGATATCAAAAGATCAAATGTTAGATTTGTGAAGACAAATAGTATGGACATAGTTGTAAGCGCTGAGAAGATAACATTTGAAGATGAACATGAGAATGAAATTAATGTTGATAAAGAGTGCCGTTCACTTTTTTGTGTAGGGAACACTTCTAAAAACACAATCAAAGTTCAGTTTTCACTAAAAGAAAGTACGTTCAAATATTCAATACGAACGGAGCCACAAATAGCTTCAATTCCAAAGAAAAAAGCGTGTGAATTTGAAATCTTTCTAACACCAAAATGTTCTTGTAAAATAGTCGATGAAATCATGCTAATTTACTCGAATTTAGAAAGTGGAGATCATTCACAACTTCCTTTTCAAATTTCAGCCGAGACGAAAATGTCGTCTAAAATTGATCCTGACGAATTAGTAGAAGAGAAAAAACTTGGAGAAGGCTCATTTGGAATTGTTTATAAAGGAACTTTCAGAGGGAACGTCGTTGCTATTAAGAAAATGAAACAGTTTTGTGAGTGTGAAGAAAATTATGATGAATTTGAAAATGAAATTAAAATGCTTGAAAAATTTCGGAGTGAGTACATCGTTCACTTTTATGGTGCCGTGTTTATTCCAAGTAAGATATGTATGGTCTCTGAATTTGCACAATATGGAAGTCTACAAGATTTAATGAAAAAGAAAAGAAATGAAGAAATTGAAATGAAATTGCGAGTCAAATTCATGTTAGATGGTGCAAAAGGAATTTTGTATTTACATGAGAATGGGATATTACACAGAGATATTAAACCGGATAACATCTTGATTTTTTCTCTTAATGTAAACGAATTAATTACCGCTAAATTGACTGATTTTGGAAGTGCAAGAAATATTAATATGTTGCTCACAAACATGACATTTACAAAAGGTATCGGGACACCTATTTATATGGCTCCGGAGGTATTGAAACAAGAGAAATACAAGAAGAGTGCGGACGTATACTCTTTTGGTATTTCAATGTTTGAAGTCTTCGGGTGGTGTGAAGCGTATCCAAAAACACAATTTATGTTTCCATGGAAAATAGCAGAGTTCGTGATGGCTGGAAATCATTTAAAAAGAATCAATGAAGTTCCAATCAATCTGTTTGAAATTGTGGGGAAATGTTGGTCTTACAACCAATTGGAGAGAATTGGTATCGAACAAGTTGTAAAAGAGCTTCAAAATAGTTTATTATAATTTATTGTTGGTTTAAATATAGTATAATATAATATATATAAAAGTTAATTATTATTTTTATTTATAAACAAAATAAAAATTATAAATATTGTAAATAAACTATTAAAATGTTAAAAATATATTTTTTTTTAATTGAATAAAAATTTTATAATTGTAACTAAAGTCATATATAAAATATATAAAATTTATTTTTAATAAAACGTTTAATTAAATAAACCAAAAAGGAACTTATTTAGTCGTGTGGCTCGACAAATAAGAACGAACTTACTTTGAAATCTGAAGCTTCTAAAAGGATTTTTACGTCATCCATCCCTTCAACTTTTGTTCCTCTCTGTATAGCTTCTTCTATTGTTATTTTCTTTTCAAACAACTCACAGAAATCGTCTCTTTTTGCTTTAATTTTATTTTTTGCTTCTCCCGACTTTCTAACGTGAAGAGTACCATTACTCACAATAAGTACTGCGCGACTATTTAAATCGGAATATTCAATTTCAAACGACGAATTCATTTCCCCAAGTATCTTTGGATCGACATGTACGCACAAAAAGTCCATCAATGCAGCAAGGGGAAGACTTTTTAAATCCATGTCTCTCTCATACACTTTTGGTGCGTCTTTATGTCTCAATTCATAAGCGGCTGCTTGGTAGTTATATACAAACGACGGACATTCTGATTGGTATTCCAATTGTTCATAGCAATTAGCAAGTAATTCCTTTGCCTTTTCATTGTTATAATTAAAAAACACCAAATGGTTTAAAACCGTTGCCGCCCATCTATACTCCCCTTTACTATAAGCAATTTGACCAATTTCTAAAACCTTTTCTTCACCACCAAAAGACTCAACGTACTTTGCTGAAAGCTCTTTTGGTGGAAGTTCATTTAAGTGAGCAGGATTGTTATCATACCACCCCAAATACAACTGATATTGTGACTTGACATTATACCCGACATTTCCATACAACTCGCGACAACAATGATACTTAGAAAGACTCTTTGGGAGCTTCACAACTTCAGCAATTTCATTTGGAGTGTATCCTTTATTGGCATATCGAAGTGCTTGGTCGTGCTGATATTTAAATGCATCTCTCTGAATACTCCAGAATTTGGTGATCTTCGCATTTCCAAGTAAATGCCAGTCGTGTCCACCAAAATGGACTTGAACATCTTTCCCATACTTCATAATGACATTGTCAATCACTTTACTCCACAATTTACCATTGCGCACTTTGGCACCTCTAAAAGTGAGTAAATTGTGAATGACCTGAACGATGTTATCAGCAGAACTAAGAGCATGGAGGTGTGGGAAATACTGCATCATATTTGCTGGAGCTTCAGTGTCTGGAGTGTATATAAAGTCGACATCAATACCATCAACTAATAAGGTACAATCATTTTTAATGTAAGTAGTGTATTTGGAGTATGGAATGGAGTTCTTTTTAACTTCATTTTCAGAAGTGATTGGATTGGTAACACAGTGAGTCACTGCATTCTCGTCGAATACACCATACATATATTGTGCTCGACGGTCCATTATGTCACCAGCACTAATCTTCTCATCATATATCATTTCATCAAATTTGTCGGGCAAATACAACGGAGTATTCTCATCACCAACACCATCATAACCACCATAATGATCATGATGAGAATGAGTAATAATTATAGATGACACTTTCATGTCTTCTACAGTCTTTTTGATTAAATTAAGTGATGTTCGACTTGCATGGTTGGTCGTCATACAGTCGATTATTATCCAGCCAGTCTTCCCACGAACGGCTGTTAAATTGGCAAAGTCTAAGGAACGACTACGGACTTGATAAACTTCATGTGGAATTACTTCAAAAACACCTTCTAAGTCATCAAAAAAGGTTTGTTTATATAACGATGGATTCATAGTCTCAGGACATTCTGAATTTATTTCTGAGATTGTTTTGAAATCTTTCATTAACTCAGGAGTGCTTTTGGTGTTTAGTTTGCCAGACATGTCTGCATAAAATCCACGAAAAGAGTCGATGTAATCATCTTCAACTGAAAGATCGTACGACTTGCAAAAGTTCAAATGAACATCTTTTGTGTATTGTGTAGCCATATCTTTCTTATTTAAATTCAAATTCTTATTTCCATTTTAAATCTTTAAAAAGAGTGAAATTAAATTGTTGTTTTAAATATTACTAAAAAAACTATTAGTTATAACTTTTTTATTATTTTATATAATTGGTATATATTAGTTCCATACGTTATTTTTTTATACCAACTAAAAAGACATCATTTTGAATTGTATGTTTGATATCATAGAGATGTACTATATTTTTACTATTATTAATAACAAAATAATAATACAACAAATATAGTACTATTAATCTTAATAATCTGAATATTTATCAAATGTACATAATATTGAAATATTTGTAATAAAGTTTAAAAATGTGAACGTTTTTGATTAAATTGTTATTTTTTTGTAATTCAAAACCCAATATAACTTATTTGCATTAGAATTGTTTTCAAATAAATTGAACATTTCAAAAAACAAATAACTAAAAATCAAAATTTTGCAATTAATAATAAACAAAAAAATTATTATTTTAATTACAGATAGAGTATTTAATAGACTGGCCAACCGCACTAAAAATAACCTCAATTCCATATTATATAACCATTTAAGAAAAAAATGACTAGTTGATTTTTTTATAATATAAATTAGTAAACAAAAATTGGTTTAGTCATATAAATAACACGTGTTGACAAAAAAAAATATTAAGTTTCAATTTTTATTAATTAACTCAAAAATCCATATTTTTATAAAATTAGTTGAAATTTGTAAATAGTGCAATATTTTTATTAAAAATGCAAAAGTAAAAAAATGTTTTTTTTTGGTAAAAAAAAGCAAAATATATAAATGAATTAATTTTAATTTATGATATTAGGCAATATTGAATTTGTGTAAAACTAACTATTTGTTTTTTTTTATTTTTACGAACACTTAATGATATGAAACTGATAAAATAACAAGAGAATTATTAAAATAAAAAGGGCGTGTGTTCATATTTCTAGTTAACAAAAATATTTGTAAAATCAAACACGGAATATCGATTTTTTAAATCATTATCATTATACAATAATAGCAATGTAATTGTATTAATTGGACAAAATATAAATTAATATATGATATGATAATACAAACAGCAACAAATATTGTATCTATTTATACATATTAAAATTATTGTTATTATAATTTATTATAATTCAATTATACTCTTTATGAAAATAATAAAGGCATTAAAACACAAACTTAAAAAAAATATGTTATTTTTGAAATGATATTTTCAAAAAAGCAATTTTGGAAACAGTTTCAGGATTCATATGGCTCTTATCATCACATAACACATTTCCAACAACACTAAAAACTCTTTCGGAATCTATACTTGAAGATTGGGCGGAAAGGTATTTTTGTGCAAATGGTCGCAGACATATATGCGAACATTCTCTCCAATATTCAAGAGGGTTTTCGTATATTTCATCAGAGTCACGTTTTTTCCCAACATCTTTGAAATAAGTTTCAATGGCATTTTCTGTTTTATTTAAATCAATGGGTGTACTCATTGGATGGCAAAAATCCATTTCTGAAAATGATGTTGAAGAATTATTCACATAAGGAAGTTTGGAATGACAAAAATGCAATTCAAGATCGCTATTTATTTTTTCTATGATAATTCGACTACATTTTGCGATTTGTAAAATTGAAAGATGTTTGTCTCTTTCTGGTGGAAATAAAAAACAGGCCATAACATAATTTTCATCTTCCAGTGTTAATGTGAACCTCTTTCTAAAACTATCCATCGCAACATGTTTCCAATCGACACCAAAAATTAATCCATTTTCAAGTCTTTGACGACATTCTTCATTCAATTTTTCCCATTCAATTTCATAGCCTTTCCATGTTTGTTGTTTGTTGTTTCTAATTAATCCCCACATTTTTTCTAATAAACCAACAACAAAACAAGAATTGGGAACATTATTTGTTGATAATGTATTATAGATTTCGTTTAACATTTTAACAAAAGGTAACAACTCTTTTATATGCAGCCATTCTACATCTGATAATTTATTATTAACATTTAAATGTGTTATTGAATGTTTCATTTGAAGTGCTTTTTCAAAACATCTACAACAAGAATTGAATCTCGTTTTACAAAAAGTGGATAGACACGAATATTTTTCAGAAAGTTCTTCGCATGTTTTTTGAGGTATATTTTTGTTGGTGTTGATATTTGCAATGTTTTGGAAAGTTTGTTTAATTTGGATAGCATCACGTTTAATTCTGGAATTGTTTTAAGTAAATCTGAAAACAATAAATTAGAACCATGGATTAAACAATCATATTTTTTTCCGCAAATAACTTTTAACCCCCCGTTATTTGCACAAGCATTTGCAATTAAAAAAGATACTTTGCCATCAAGAGAAAATTTATTTAAAACTTGTATTGTATTTTTTGTAATGTTTGTTCCGGTGTGTTTTACATTAAAAGGTTGAAGTTGAAGAAGAAAATTGTAAGGATTGAAATGATTATCCAAAAAGTGAAGTGTTGTTGTGACATATGAGTTACTGTATTTCGACATAATATCAGTAGAAACACTTCCAAAAACACCAATTGATTTTGTTTTTACCAAACTTACCATTTTATCCATTTCTTCGTTATAAACCTTTCTTAATAAAGTAGTACCAAATGTCACTCGTTTACACACTCTAATTTTTGAATCAAGAATTAACAACAATTCATTTAAAAAACGATTTTCAATTTGTCTAAATGAAATGTTTGCAGTGATAAAAAATTTAATCAAAAGTGTGTTAATTTCAATGCTTTTTTTTGTCAAATGTTTTCAGAACTTTATTATCTCTGTCGGGTGTTATATATTCTTCATTTATTTGTTCCAAGTGAAACGTTAAAAGATGAGTGTTCATCGCACTTGTTGATGAATCTTTATAAACATAGCTTTTGGTACACGAAGAACAAAAAGTTTTTACTTGACATTTTTCACACTTTGGATTATGTAACAAGTGTAAATTACATCCAAGTTTTTTCTTTTCAAAATAGTGCCACACATATGATTCACTCATTTTGTTTTTAAGTTATAGTTTAATGTTCATTAAAATTAAAATATAATTGTTTGTTTATTTTTATAAACACCTGATTTATTTATTACGCGTTGTTGGTAAGTTTTGGATTGTTTATTCATTTGAACTATTATACATTTTTTGTAATTAATATATTGAGAGTAATTGTAAATTTTAGTTTTTAAAAACATGTGTTGTCAAAAAAATAAATTATATTTTTTTTCTGAAAAATATATATATTATTTAACTTTTGTTTGTTGGTTCCAATTTTCGATTTCTAATGATATTTTTTTTAATAAAGCAAAAGTCGGTTATTTGTGTGGTTAACTTTGGTTTCGGCAAAAAGGAACGTTGCTTTAAAAATTCGGCAAAATTGAAAATAATGGTCATCGGTTGGCCAGTCTAATAATAATATATAATATATAATTACTATAACTAATACAATATACCTGTATATAATAATAAATTTTTTATTTTATTTATCATTTATTTTTATTTGTCATTAAATGTAATCTGTTTCAAAAATAAAGTTGTATTTTAATTTATGGAAAAATGAAAACAAAGTTTTAAACTTTTTATCCATTAAAAACATTACAAACAAATAAAACTCGATTTTTTTAGTAAAAATACAACTATTTATAAAAACCAATTTATTTTTTGTCAACCTCAATAATTGTTTGAATATATGATATCAAATAAAAATACATATAACACTTCTAATAAACACAATTAAATTATCATGTTACTTTAATTAAATATGAGTTACATTAAAACGTTTTTTAAAAGCAAATTAAATTATATATAACAATAAAACGGTTCTTTTATTATAATGTAATCACAATTATTTTATATTTTATTCATCAAACAATTTTTTGTAATAAATCTAATATTAAATAAAATAATCACAAAAAGTTAGATGGAGACATAACTTAACATATTTTATTAATTATTATTACATATAAATATACATTTATATAATAGTATTACTTATTGTTGCTTTTTAAATCAACAATTAAAAACTTGTTACTTGTTAATTGATTAACAGGCGACATTAAGATAATAGAGTAAAGTTGTGAATTATAAATTTAATATATCAAAAATGCAAATAAATTTAAAAACTTTGTTTAATTTAATAATGAAATTTAACAAAAACTTATACTGAATATTGTTTTAAAAGACGATTGTCATATAATATTAACCAGATTAAATCATATGATATTATATATAAATATAATATAGTCGATTATAAATTGTTTGTTATTTTTGAAATTTAAAAGATAAAAGTGAACAAAAAATATGTTTGAAATAATGTAACAGTCAGGAGGCACAAAATTTTTGTTTTTTTCCACTAAAGATTGTTTTTTAAATGTTTTAATTAATATTTATTGTTTGCTTTTGAAAAAATAATATACAAAAAACACAATTTATTATTTTTTTGTTCAAAAAATAACAACAACACATTTTATCAAATCAGTGTGTATCAGAAACAAATTATAATTCAATTGATAATCATAAAACTAATACACGTAAATATATCCAAATATTTTTTATTTACATGCATTACATGGTTTATTTTATAAATCTATTTATTTAGTGTATATTTTGTAATAAAGTATTATAACAAAAATAAGTTTCAAATGATCAGAAATCATATTTTTAAATTGTATCAATATTAAATGATCAATAAATAGTTTTAAGTTAAAAATAGTAATTGTTTTTTGATTCCATACTAAAACTTGTATTTAATAATATTATGTTTTGATCCACATGAAAATATTTAGATGCTTTTAATTTATTTTAGTAGAATAACCTAAATTAAAATTTAGATTATATTTAAATGTCGTGTAAATTATAATTAAGGACATTTTTATTTACACAACCACTTTTTAAAAAACATTCTGTTCGTGGAAAAAAACTGAAGTTTGGTGCCTCCTGGTAACAGTTATGTAAAACTTTAAACCAATTTTTCCACATTTCATTATTGTGTTTTAATGACATTAATTACAAATGATAACAATTTTCAAAAAATCAATGTTTTAATTTTTTAAACCAAAAACTTTTCAGAGATTAATGAAGTGGTTATTTTTATATATTTTATTAGATAGTTGATTCATTTGTATTACATAAAAATAACAAGTTTATTTATTATTAGTTGAGTAATATAAAACTATAATTATAGTTTTTTTATTAAAAAAATAAAGATTGTTATTACAATTTGATAAACGATGCAAGTCAAAAAAAGTTATTTATAAATTATAAAATGTATTTATTTTTACAATAAAAGATAACAAACAAAATGAAACGTTGTAATCACAAAAAAATCTAATAATAAAAATACTTCTAATAAAAAACTTATTTGTTTTTTATGTTTTATTTTTATATGGATTTTGTTTGATATCTTGTTTTAATAGCAAATCTTTTGTTTCAATACACTTTCACTTATTTTTAAACCAAAAATTTTAATCTAAAAACAACAATTACAAAATTATGAAAAAGTTATATGTTATTATTTCAGTTGTTTCAACAATAGCTGTACTGTTCGCAGCAATTGCAGTCATTTCGATCACACTTGGTGTAGTTCTTTCAAAGGACGATTCAAGTACAAACAATCCTGGTGACTCACCAAACCTTTATGACCCTTCTTTGATAACAAACAATGGGTATATGACCAATGAAATGGATAACTTTGAGGTTGTTAAAAGTGTGCCATTCAATGGAAAGAAACCCCAGATATACAAAATGAAGTACTCCAAATACCCACACTTTGGAAATACTGAGACCTTCACAGACCAAGAAAAAATAGATATTACAGCCGAAAACACACTCATTTGGGATGACACAATCAAAATGATCCAAAACGGCACTTTTGGTCGAATGGACCCCACATTAGGAGGAGAAAAACAATTTGAGTCTTCTGGAATAAATTGGGATGTTCCAAGAGTTACCATTAAATACGAAGTCTTCCCCAAAGTGAGTGGACAAAGACTAGTTGCCACTGCATTCCCAGGAGAAGTTGTCACTCTAACTTTTCCAAAGGATTTGGAAATCAAAACAAATCGACTTGTTGTTTGTATGGGCAAGTGCAATTTAGATGGAAACAGACAAAACGTAGATAGCCGATTGTTTAAGAATGATCGAATGCCAAGCGAGTCGAGAGAATTCCCATTGACTGAAGCGGATTTAGATACAAATCGACAATTCAAAGTTGGAAGTATCTTTGGTGGTGGTGTCTATTTAAAAACTCAACTCGATTTTCAAAGCGCTGAACCGTTCTTTGTTGAAATCTCCAATGTTGGAGAGGCTCCTATTATTAATTATAATGTTACTACAAACGCCGAATGGAAGAAGATCAAAATGTTGGGAAGTGTTGGAGAAGTACGAACACCTGGTGTAAGGCTTATTCTGACATCAAAAAATATGAGAGAAGTACAAGACGCCGAATTTGTCGCTGAGTATTGGCACCGCGCTGTACACATTGGGTTGTTGTTCACACCAACGACAAATATGTATCCAATTTCTATGTGTTTTGACCAAAAAATTGAATTTGGAGAAGCAGTCGCTTTCATTGCCGCTTGGTTCTGTCAACTTCCCGTGTATTGGGAAGAACCGGTTGTCAACAAACAATTGATGTATAACCAACTTCTGTGGGGGCCAATGCACGAGCTGAATCATCACTATGAGGGAAGTATAAGTGGAAGAGAAGGAAGATGGGGAATGGGGCAACTTGAGACTAACAACAATGTCATCAACGCTGTATTTCACATAGAATATTCAAATGTTGCTGGGAATAGAGAGAATGGAATTAACGATTGGGGATATATCAGTGATGGGTATTGGACTATGAAAAAGGTATTTGAAGGGAGTCGAGACGCTATATATCTCAGAAGTTATGTGTCACCAGCTTTCTCTTTTGGCACAGAGGCTGTTAAAAGAATGATTGATAATTACTATTATATGTATTTTGATGAAGGGTATGGAACTAAATTTAACAAATTTAGAAATGACACAGGTATTTATTGCCTTTTGGTTGCACGAGCGACTGAAAGTGATACAAGATATTTCTGTAAAATCTTTGGGTGGGAAATAGACGCCGAAATTGCGAAATATATTCAGAGCTTTAAATACAAAACATGGTTCCCATTTTATAATTTGTACTCTCATAGTTGGAATGGAAATAAATACGGGAGAGTGTTCCACGTCCCTTATAAAATCAAAACAAGACTCGACTTCAACGAAAAAACTGCATTTGATAGAAATGCCACCAATGTTAAGTTTGAGATTTTAGACGGTTTCAAAAAAGGAAAACTTGAAGAAATATCAAGTGGTATTTATGATTACACTGCTGACTTCAAACCCAACGAAACGGACACTTTTAAAGTAAAAATGACGTTTAATGTTAACGGAGAAAGTGGGTCCATTGTCTTTGATGGCGAGTTGGTGACGAACAACAAAATGAAGCAAGTTGATGTTTATACTTTAGAGACTAAACCATCAAATATGGCAAAAGCAGAAGAAATGATAATTGGAAAAAGTGTTGATTTTACACGAATATCTAAAAGTTCGGCAATACAAACTTTTAATGATAAAGTT